CTGCGCCGGCTGCCCAAAGGCCGACGGCGCGGCGCCGAAGGCCGACGGCGCGCCGAAGCCGCCCGGCGCGGGCGCGGGCGCGCCGAACGCCGACGGCGCGGCCGCGGGCTGGCCGAACGCGGCCGCGCCCCCCAGGGCGCCCATGGCCGGCTGGCCGCCGCGGCCCTTGTTGCCCGCGCGGTAGTCCTCGAAGCGCAGCTCCTCGAAGGACTTGCCCCGGTACTGGGGCATGGACACGACGCAGTGGTAGACCATCTCCGTGCGCTTGCCGTTCGTCTGCTGCTCGTTGTCCTTGGTGGGCACGTAGGGCGGGTTGCCCGTGCCCGGCCCGGCGGCCTGGGCCGCCGCGCCGAAGGCGCCCGCCGCGCCGCCGAAGGCCGACGTCGCGGGCGCGCCGAACGCCGACGCCGCGGGCGCGCCGAAGGGCGACGTCTTCTGCGCCGCGGCCGCGCCGAAGGGGCTCGCGGCCGCGGGCTGGCCGAAGGAGAAGGCGCCGCCGGGCGTCGCCGGGGCCGCGGCCGAGCCGAACATGCCGCCCGCGGGCGCCGCGGCGCCGAAGGGCGTCTTCGCGGGCGCGCCGAACGCGGACGCTTGCGCGGGCGCGCCGAAGGCGGACGTCTGCGGCGCGGCGCCGAAGGCGCTCGTCGCGCCGCCGCCGCCGCCGAAGAGGCTCGCGCCGGGCTGCTGGCCCGCGGGCGTCGACGGCGGCGCGCCGAAGCCGCCGAAGGCCGGCTGCGCCGCGGGGGCCCCAAAGGCCGGGGCCGCGCCGAAGGCGGGCGCCGCGCCGCCCGCGGGCGGGAAGCCGCCGAAGGACGTCGTCGTCGACGCGCCGAAGGTCGCCGTCTGCTGCGGGGTGCCGAAGCCCCCGAAGGACATCGTCGCGGAGGTGGTGTCGACGCGCAAGGTGCGGCGACTGCTCTCGCGCTCGATGTCGAGGCCTCGACGCGCCGCTCCTTGCCCGGCTCGGCCGCTACCACGACGCGCGCCTCGCCGCAGAGCCTCGCCGCACGCCTCGGAAGACCTACGACACGCGCCTTACGCGAACTCGCTCCAGGGCATCATGGTCGCGAGGGAGTCGAGCTTGACCTTCTCGTGGTGCGCGGCGAGCCAGGCCGCGCCGCGCGTCGCGAAGGGCCGGAGCGCGTCCTTGAAGGCCGCGCCCGGGACGAGGTCGTGCGCGAGGCGGTCGAGCCCCGCCGCCGGCGCGGCGAGGACGGCGTCCTGCTGCGTCTGCTCGCCCGTGGTGCAGTCGACCTTGACGACGGTCTTCCTCGCCGCCGCGCCCCGCGTCCGGGCCAGCGCCGCGAAGAGCGACGCCGCCCAGGTCCTCCGGGGCTCCGACTCGTCGGCGCCCTGGCAGATGTAGACGCCGCCTTCTTTGTGGATGCTCGCATTCTCCGCGCCCGCGGGCGCCGCGGGCGGCGACCCGATGAGGACCCAGCCGAAGACGGCGTCGAACGGCGGCGCGAGCGCCGCGACGGGCGCGTGCTCGCCGAAGCCGACGACGGCGCGGCCGCTCGCGTAGGGCTTGACGCGGAATTTGCCCTCGACGACGCGCACGAGGTCCGCGGTCCGCCGGAAGTCCGGCGGCCGGTAGGCCTCGCACCTGCTGCCCACGACGATGAACTCGGGGTACCAGTTGCGGCCCGGCACGCCGACCATGGCCTCCTTGCCGGCGCGGGCCGCCTCCGCGAAGGCGCCCGAGAGCTCGCCGTCGCTCTCGCAGACGTAGACCGTGGGCCAGGTCGCGCGCGCGTCCTTCTCGTAGGCCGCCGGCAGGGTGACGATGACCTCGCGGCCGTCGAAGGTGAGCGACGGCATCCGTATGCGCTGCGCCGCTGTCGTCGTTCGCGCTGGCGGCGGCGCGGAGAGCGCGGGAGAGCGCGGCGGCACGGGGCAGCCCTGAGCATGTTGACCTTGCAAAATCTTCAAGGTCAACATGCTCATCCAAAAACGGGTTAGACGCCGCCAACGCTGGGCCGCGGAGTCGTCCCCGGTGTGCCGGCCCGGGGCTGCGCGGCGGTGCGTTCGGCCGAATGTCGAACGCGACGTACAATGCGCTCTGGGCGGAGGCCATCGGGGAGCTGACGGAGCAGGCGCACCTCGAGGACCCGAGCCTCATCGACGGGGCCGAGCCCGTGGAGCCCCACCGGCCGACGAGCATCATGCAGACCTTCCAGCACCTCGCGTGCCTCTACATCAAGTACCTGCAGATCTTCAAGCGGCTGGAGACGTGCTACGACTGCATGGTGCACCCGCAGAAGCGGCTCGCGGTGCTCAAGGTCCTCGAGCTCGTCATCCGGCGCGTGCTCGAGCTCAAGCACAGTCTCGTCAAGTACAACCCGCCGAACCCGGCGGTGCGGCGGCCGCCGGGGAAGCCGGAGAAGGTCTTCCCCTGGGAGTACGTGAATTTGGACGACATCCTCGTGGACCTCAAGCTGCCGCCGGAGACGCTCGAGGTGCCCGTGCCGCGCTACTTCCGCGAGAACTCGCAGAGCGGCCGGCGCGTGCGCGACAAGATCGTCTCGGGCTACATGAAGGTGCGCCACGGCGTCGAGAGCCTGCCCCTCGAGGAGGAGGAAGTGTTGGAAACGGCGGTGAAGATGGAGATCTCCCAGTCCATCGAGATCATCCAGCGGAACGAGCGCGGCCGCCAGGGCAAGCAGCGCGCGCTGCTCGTCAAGGAGCTGCGCGAGGAGGAGAAGCGGCGGCGGAACTACGACGCGGCGGCGCAGATGGAGATGGACCCGGAGATCGCGGCCATCTCCATCCAGCGCCTCTTCCGCGGGTTCCTGAGCCGCGTGCGCGCGACGGCCGCGCGCGAGGAGGAGCTCGTCTTCATCGGCATGCGGCCGCCGAAGCACAACGTCCGCGGCGACTACGACCTGGCCTTCGAGCTGGAGACGGCCTACAAGAAGCGGAAGCAGGTCCAGGCGGACAACAAGGGCGCGTACGCGAAGGCGCTCGGCGATTTGAAGGAGGTCGTCCGCGAGGAGGAGGGGCCCCACATGCGCGCGGAGCTCCGGGGCGAGCGCACGGACTGGGTCACGCACATGATCGAATCCACCAAAGAGATCCCCGAGGACCTCGAGGGCTTCTACCCGGACAAGTTCCCCGAGGACGAGAAGAAGGAGGGCGAGGAGGGCGCCAAGGACCCCAAGGAGAAGGGCGACAAGAAGGAGAAGGGCGACAAGAAGGACAAGAAGGGCAAGAAGGGCAAGGGCAAGGGCAAGGACGCCAAGGACGAGGAGGTCAAGGAGGAGGAGCTGCCGCTGCTCCAGGGCCGCACGGAGCTCACGTCCGGCATGAACGACGAGATCAAGGTCTACGAGCAGGACTGGGAGGACCGCGACGAGTCCGACAACTTCGCCCAGAAGCACGACGTCGAGCTCGCGAAGCGCGCGATCCGCGAGGAGGTCCGCGTCGAGATTCGGGACCAGGTCGACGAGATGCTCCGCATGAACCTGAAGAAGATCAAGATGCAGCTCACGCGCACGGCGCCGAAAGCGGGCAAGAAGGACAAGGGCAAGAAGGACAAGAAGGGCAAGAAGGGCAAGAAGGACAAGAAGGGCGGCAAGAAGGGCAAGGCGCTGCCCGGCGAGAAGATTGCGGACCTCAAGAACATGTCCGTCGAGGAGATGCTCGCGACGCTCATCGAGTCCAAGGTCATCAACGACTACCGCGACCGCCACATCCACGAGCTCGTCGGCGACTTCAACTACCTCGGCACCGTGCAGCAGCACACGGAGTCGCAGCAGAACGAGTGGACGCCGCCGGACCCATCCATGGCCCAGCTCCGCGCGTCCATCACGGAGTACTGCGTGCTGCCGCTCGGGTCCACGGCGCTCAAGTCGAAGCTCCAGGACGGCAACAACGTGAAGACGATCCTCCTCTACGGGCCGTCTGGCTCCGGCAAGACGATGATGGCCGAGGCCGTCGCCAACGAGCTCGGCGCGCTCCTCATCAACATCTCGCCGGCGCGGCTCAAGGGCCACTTCGGGGGCAAGAACGGCGCGACGAAGCTCCTGCACATGATCTACGTCGTCTCGCGCGACCCCGCGTTCAGCCCCGTCGTCGTCTACATGGACCAGTGCGACCAGTTCTTCGTCGGCGGCGGCAAGAAGGCCAAGACCGCGGAGAAGGACGGGCCCGCGCGCTACAAGAAGGACCTCATGACCTACAAGTCCGCCTTCGTCAAGGAGGACCGCGTCATCTTCATCGGCACGACGTCGTCGCCGGAGAAGGGCGACTCCAAGGACATGAAGAACTTCTTCGACAAGATGCTCTACCTGCCCTACCCGGACTACCCGAGCCGCCTCATGCTCTGGCGCAAGTGCATCCAGGCCCAGCTCCTGCTCGCGGAGAAGTCCGCGCACCACGACATCCCCGACGACTTCGACCTCAGCACGCTCGCGCACATCTCCGAGGGCTTCTCCGCGGGCGCCATCTGCCAGACCGTGAAGAAGACGCTGACGCACCGCCGCGTCGAGCGCCTCGACAAGCGGCCCCACAACGAGTCCGAGTTCCTCAACTCGCTCGCGCAGGAGGCCGCGAAGAACCAGCTCACCTACAAAAACGACCACGAGGTCTTCCGCGACTTCACGGCCAAGATGACGGGCCTCGACGACGAGCGGCGGCGCGCCAAGGAGGAGCGCGACGGCGGCGACGGCGGCGGCGGCGGCAAGGAGGAGAAGAAGGGCAAGAAGGGCAAGAAGGGCAAGAAGTGAGTTTTTGAACCGGGCCTAAGAGCGACGAACCCACCCTTTAGCTGCCCCCGCCGGGCGCGGGCGCGTCCGTCGTCGCCGCGGACGTCGGGCTCCGCCGGAGCGTCGCGCGGTCGTAGGCGCCAAAGTCGACGTCGAGCATCTCGAGGTTGTTCGCGAGGGGCTGCTGGAGGTCCGCGCAGTCGACGACGTCGACGGCGAAGCCGAGCCTCCGCGCCTCCTCCAGGAACGCGCCCCACTGGTCGTTGTCCTCGAGGAACTCGGCGAGCTTCCGGCCGGGCGGCGGCGGCCTTTTCTGCACGACGACGGCGGTCAGGCCCGGGTTCGCCGCCGCGAGGCGGTCCAGGACGCGCGCGAAGCGCCGGCCGTTGTCGTCGTCCAGCACGTCCGCGGCGAGGGCGACGTCCACGGGGCCGACGCGGCCCAGCGCGGCGGCCGCCTCGGGCCCGAGCGCGCCCGCGACCTCGAGGTCGAACCAGTTGAGGCGCTCGACGCGGCAGCCGTTGTTCGCGTCGGGGCGCGACAGGTTCTCGAAGTCGGCCTCGCGCCAGGTCGTCAGGCAGCAGTCCTCGCAGTCGCCGAGGCGGTCGTCGTACGCCGCCGCGCCCGCGAGACCGAGCGTCGCCTCGAGCTCGACGACCCGCGCCCCCGCGAGCGCCGCCCGGCCCTCCGGCAGGCCGCACCACGTCGCCAGCCCCACCTGGCCGGCCCAGAGCATGCCGCTCCGCTTCCAGCGCGCGGGGGGCCGCACGGCGATCGCGCGCGCACCGCAGAGCAGCGTCCGCAGCGGGAAGACCTCGCGGAGCTCCGCCTCCGCCGCGTCCTCGAACTCGTAGGGGTTGGGCACGCAGCTCGGGTCCTCCAGGTCCTCCTCCTCGTCGATCAAGGTCCGCCCGGAGATGCGCTCCGCGTCGCGCGCCGCGGCGCAGTGGGCCCGGTCGAGCCGCGGCCAGTCCTCGAGGTCCGCCTCGGGCATGACGATCTCG